TTCCACTGTTGTTAGCTCTCTTGATTTTACATCCAGTCATCATGACTCCGCTTTATTCTTTAGATGCACTTCAGCTAGTCGGATTCTATTATTACTATATGTTGACGATATTATTATTACTGGTGATGATGTTGATGGAATTGCACGTTTGAAATCAGAATTGGCTTGTTGTTTTGAAATGAAGGACTTGGGCACATTGTCTTATTTTTTGAGGATCGAAGTTGCTTCTTCTCCTAGAGGTTATCTTATCTCTTAGTCTAAGTATACTATGGATGTTATTGAGTGTGCTCGTCTTACTGATACTAAAACTGTTGATACCTCTCTTGAGTCCAATGCTCGATATTCATCCTCTGACGGTGTACCGCTGACCGATCCCACTTTGTATCGCACTATTGTTGGATGTCTAGTTTATCTTATCATCACACGTCCCGATATTACTTATGTTGTTCACATTGTTAGTCAAATTGTTTCAACTCCTACTACAGTTCATTGGGCAGCAGTTGTTCGTATTTTACGTTATCTTCATGGTACGTGTTTTCAGAGTCTTTTGTTTCCATCGACCTCATCCTTAATGCTTCGTACCTACTCTGATGCTGATTGAGCTAGCAACCCCATTGATCGCAAGTCCACCACTGGTTTTATGTATTTTTGGGTGATTCTCTTATCTGTTGAAAAAGTAAGAAGCAGATTGTTGTTTCTCGTTCCTCTACAGAAGCAGAGTATCGAGCTATAGCATCCACCACCACTGAGATTGTGCGATTGCGATGGTTACTTGTAGACATGGGTGTTTTTCATTCTTCCCCAACTCCCATGTATTGTGATAATACTAGTGTTATTCAGATTTCTCACAACTCTGTGTTCCATGAACGCACAAAATATATTGAAATTGATTGTCATCTGGTTTGTCAACATCTGCAGACTAGCACCATTTCCCTACCTTTTGTTTCTTCATCGTTGCAGCTTGCTGACTTCTTCACTAAGTCTCATCGAGTTCATCGTTTTCGTTTCTTGCGTGACAAACTCTCGCTGCTTCTTGCTTTAGCATCGTGAGTTTGCGGGGGGATGAAAACGTGTTATATTTATTTCTTTTAGCATAATATGTAATTTTCTTTTTTAAGTTTCCTATTATTTTAAAGGTTTCCTTGTAGTAGTATAAAAACCATATTTACTTTCATTGTAAATCCTAATTCTCATTGCTTAATAGATTTTGGTTTTCTCTCTTTATTCTTCTTCTTCTCTTCTCTTCTTTTGGATTGATTCAACATATTGGTTTAAGATGAATTATATTGTTATCATTAGCACTTTCAATTGCCAAAGAATTCTTTTTCCTTGACTTCCATTTTCAGCCTCGAACTTCAAGTGCACGTAGACTACATTAGTAATTACTAATTACCGCATATTTGCAAGTTTAATACTCCAGCTTTATAGTCAGCATTCCTTTGTACCCTTTTCTTATATTTCGCCAATTCGAGTCACCTAAACCAATCAGGTTCAAAAACATTAAAGTCCAAAATCGAACCGAACTCGAAATTTTCAGGTATTTAGTAAGTGCAACCGTAGAATCCAAATCTAATTATGTAACCATTCGGATTTGGTTCTATTCAGTTCCCCGGTTCTGTCTTATAATTAATTTTTTAATATTTACAAAATTACATCAATTCAACTAATGACATGTTCAATCTTAACTCTTACAAAATAACGTAGTCCAATTTTATTTATTTATTTATTATTTTTTTTGCATCTCTTTTTGTTGAGTTCTTCATAGATTTAATTGTTAAAATCACAAGAAGAACAAGATAGTGAGCTTATAATAATTAAGAGAGGCGTCATCGAGTTTCAATTCGACTTCTCGAGAACGGTAGAAACGACACTACGATAGAATAACAGATTTGAATAAAACTTATGTCAATTTGATTAAGTCGTGCTTGATCTGAAAATTAGAAATATGAAAATCATATTTTTAGGTTTGAGCTAAATTAACTAGTTAGAAAATTTATTTAGAAAAAAATAAAATAATATTGTTTATTTAAAATAAATAAATTAAAAAAAACTAGGGAGATTCGGTTCTTGATCTAGAATCAGAACCAAATCGAACCGAACCCATTTGTTATCGATTCAAATACCGGTTAATTTAAAAAAAATCGCTCGATTCGATTTAATTCGAGATTCGAAAGTTTTGTCCAATCCTAAAAAAACAAATTTACTTGGTAAACATAGCTGTCGTTCATATACGGTTTATCAAGTCCTATCCAACGGCCCACGAAGTCATAGTTAACTTCTCACTTTCTTTACGTTTTTTTCTCAAATTTGTTAGACAAAATGATTGTTGGTGTGGGGACACCATGACGACCGTGCGCGCAGAAGTCAATAACGTATCTCAGATGCCTAATTAAATACAGCTATCTTCTAAACTACCACAATTAATTAAAGAAAATCTTTAATTGCTCATTAATTATAGCATAAATAATCAGTCACAGTTCACGCTTATCAAACCCTATCATGTAATTAATTACCTGTTTATGGTCAGAATGAAGGAAGCCATAAGTATAGGAAAAAATTTAACAGAACTTGTACCGATGCTGATGTTGTACAATGTAAGTGAACTTCTTTTTTCAATCTTTCAATAATGTTGCGTCATGTATTGTCTATAATATTTTTTGTTAAAAAATTATGTACTTGTAACATGATTCGATCAGAATACAGATTTAAGTTTTAGAGCATGATCAATCACTTGTTTGTTTCTTGTTAAAAGCCAAACAAATTTATATTGGCAAAATTGAACCTTAGATTAATTTCGCTCGACAGTTAATGTGGAGATTGAGTGATTTCTTATTTATTAAGATAATATTATCAACAATTCATTAATTAATATATAAAAAAAATGTAAACTTGTGTTAAAAACAGAGATTTGATACGGCAATGAAATTATCACAATTTTAAACGGTGGATCCGAACCCCTTTTCACCTCTTGTTTGAAAATTGAAGTTGTTGAGAGACAGCTACGTCAGTCTAATATTTGAATTATAAATTAAAAAATAAAAGAATATTTAATGACACACATAAATGGACGTGATTGGAGAGGGAATCAAACGAAGTTGCGTAGAAGTTTCTCCATTTACGTGTCAAACTATTATGGCCGGAGTTGTTGACTTCACTAAAATAGAATATAGAACGTTGTATCATTCTTCTAGTCTTCTTGGATCTTTGTAACGGGGCCCCTATGTACAGGGGGCATGTACGCGTAGCAGGTCCCGGTCTAAAATTGTCTACTCTTTTGTTGTTTCCTATTTAGATTCTCTTTTGGGAGTGATTTTTTTCTTCCAAAAAATTGATTTTTTGATTGTTATTTTACTATTTCAATCGTCATATTTGACTTCTTCACTCATATATGGACCTCACTTTTCTTCTAACGATTAAAAAATCAATTCTCAAAATCACTACCAAACAAACTTTTAGATAAAGACAGAAGAAAGAGTTAGAGATTAAACCCCCTTAGAGATTAAGCACGCCTTCGAAACTCTTCAATTTAATTTAATTTTTTCTCTCTTACTTTCAACTATATAATTTTTAATAAAATAATATTACACTCAACTCAAAAACTTTTCAACCACACAATCTTAAAAAAACACTATTCTCCCCATTATAAATTCAAATAATAGGGACCAAACAGGAGCTAAAATTAGTTTTTCAAAAAAATTTGATAAAAATTGAAAGAATGTTTGGTTAAAAAATTGTGAGTCTTTTGAAATGTGTAATTAAAATTAATTATTAATTTTAACTTAAATTATAATCTGAATTTTATTTTTCACCGAACAGGAGCTCAAGGAATTATTTGGTAGGGTTGCTTTTGCTTCTTGTATAATTTTTTTTTTTTTGAGAAAATTATGTATTCATTTTTTTCCTCAAACAAAGTCTTTCAAAAATTTATTTAAACATGTTTAAAATAATTTCTTAATCTCCAAAGTAACTTTTAATTTTTCAAATTCCATGTTAAAAGAACTCTAAATATACTGACTTTTACTAAACTTCTGACAAATTGAGTGATTAATTTGAAATAACTTCCGAGATTAACTTAGAATAAAATAAAGATTGTTGACAAAATTGCTAATGATTCTAACCCAATTAACAAGAAAAAACAATGAAATTTACAATCAAGAAAGCAATCAAGCATTCTCTCTTTTGTAGCATATTGGAATGATATTATTCTGAATAAAACAAATTTGTGTGTCCTATGCAGTAAACCATCCACGCCAATTACAAAAATACAAAAAAATATGAACATGTTAATTCCTTCTGAACGACCAAGAAGAAGAATCAACAAAACTATTTGATACAAGTGTGAAAAGTGGTAGCTACAGATAACGAAACTGGATTACGCTTATATTAATTCCCTGAAAAACTGCTGGTCTTGTTGCTATTATTCGTGTTTACGTCTGCACTATTGCTGTTTGCCATCAAATTGTTCTTACTGTTGTTTGGATTGGAGCCACCAATAATGGTGGTGATGGCGGCGGCAAGGGCTGCAGTGAAATTAGCATCGGCAGTGATAGCGGCGGTGGCGGCACTGAGGGTGTTAGCATATGATTGGTGTTGCTGAGCCTGTGGAGGTTGGGACTCGTTTGGCAATGAGGCAGCTTCAGTACTACTGTCGTGAGACATCTGGAGCCCGGAAAATTTTGATTGGTTAAGCCCAAAAACTTGAGGAATTTGCGGTGGGGCAGCGGCGGCGAAAGGGACATGGAATTGGGTAGGGGGTGGCGGTCTTTGGAATTGCAATGGGTTGGGTGGCTGAGTAAGGTCTAATGTGACTGTCGGAAATGGAGCCGAGGCTGAAATTGTAGCAATGTTCGATGAACATGGAAGAATGGTTCTTGCAAGAATATTCGGATTCATCAACCCATCTGCACTAGACATTGAACCCGAGAGAAGCATATTAGCTGCGGCTGAGGTTGTTGATGCCATAGCCACGGCGGCTGGAGGCAATGGATGATTGTGGGTTCCTTCGTAGGTTGTAATCAAAATTGTCCGGTCTTCAGCACACCTTTGAACCTGTAAATTATATAAAATCAAAATTTTGATCAATACATTTATTTACCTGATGAAAAAAAAAATGGCTTTAGCTAACTCGATCATTGATCCATAAATGTTGATAACATTTTTATTATAAAAGTTCTTTTTAATATACCTGTTTGCGCACTGGACAGCCTACTGCCATGGTGCAACGATAATAAGCTCGTGGACATGGATTTCCTTTCGCCATCTTTTGTCCATATTTTCGCCATTGGCATCCATCTGAAATCTGATTGGTCAAACAGGTTTATCATCATTAGTACTGTAAAACCATCTCATCTACAAACTTAAACATTTGAATGGTCAAATTTATTTACATAACTATGCGCTTGATGCATACCATAGGAGCTTCGGATCGTGCACGAACTGAAACACGAGCTTTTCTCATGGTAGCCTCGGTGGATTGATCGACAGACTTAAAGGGATTTAATTTGGAAGCCTTGTTAGGGGCCCAATCTTCTGATGCTGGGCTCTCTTCCCTACCAAACTTTTTCTTCTTGTGTGCCGGGGATTCAGATATTGTTCTTTCTTCTGATGAAGAATGAGATAGTTCTTGATCACCCTGGACCAACTCCAAGAACTGTCTAGGAACTATTGATCCTCCATTTTCTGATTTCTTATCTTCAGATTTTCTCTCTACAGTCTGAATTATTGTAAAACATTAGAATCCGACCACATAAGATTTGACAAAATTTTACGATCGTTAAACCCTATCGCAACCCTCATCTTTTCGGGATTGAGACTTAAAGATTAATTACCTGGTTTTCCTGTGAGCTTTCTGTTTTTGAGTTCTTTGGCTGTTGCATTAATGTTGCAAGATGCATCTGCAGTGTACTGTAATTGTTGGTGACCTGAGTAAGCATCCCTTTTAACTTGTGATTTTCAGCGTTCATTCTTTCGAGTTCAACTTGTAATTCTGCTAGCTATTAGAGAGAAAAAAAAGGGGAAAAAGAGAAGAAGATAATTTAGAAATCAAAACCTAATGAATAAATATTCAACAATTTGTCTATAGAGCATGCATTTTCTCACCTCCTTTTTTGCTTTCTTATCTTTGATGTCAGATGAAATCCCATCATCTTTCGTTAATTGATCATTTCCATTGTTAACAGTAAGAAGTTGCAAACCAGTCTATATTAAAGAAAAAAATAACAATAAATACAAATATCTCCAGAATAATATATCAAGTATACATGTCATACATAGAACATATCAACACACACACACACACACACATACATACAATTGTTGTATGTATAAGCAGATGCTACTTACGTTGACATTCAAATCCCTTGTAGCAGCTTCAACATCTTCCTTCTTCACTACAAAAGTATCGTTTGTAGACCTCCTCTTATCTGCAAAAAAGTCTACTTCACCTAACACCACTCGTTTATCATCGGCCGGCGGTGGAGCGCTTAAGCCCTTGCCTGGTATCAATCGAAATTTTAATCTAAATAAAAGTCAACAATTAATTTTAACCTCATATTTTATAAGTTCTACATCTTTTCAAACATATATTTTATCAATTTTTATCAAAATCTACTAAAAATTCGATTTTAAATCCCACCAAATTTGATTTTCTAGTCAAAAATTAAATTAAAACAAATTTTTCATCATTTTAAAAAATAAAATGGCCAGTCTCGTTGGAACCCGTTTTAGGTAATTAATTTTAATGGATTTAAATTTTCAATTTTTTTTTTACATATATCCAACTGGATTCATTTTGAATTGCTTCTCTATCTGTTTAGTTGATCTTACTCGTTTGATTAGGTTCTTATATCATCAATTTAGGTGTTATTTTTATTAATAAATTAAAATTTTAATTATTCTCACGCAAAACGAGCGCTCCTCTGCAATTTGATAGAGAAAAATTAGCCCCTATTTGTCATCTTTTAAAAATTTAAATTGTTTGTTATATTATCATTTTTCACCACATATTCACATAATAAAATATTTTACACACAAATCAATAAAGTTTCCTTACTTTTTAACTATAAAGTCTTCAAATCCAAAATAAAATCAAACCTGCCCTTAGTTATTTTATTTATAAGTACTTTTTTAGGTTTAGGCAAACAAGCCCTATGAAGGAGAGGTTTCGTCCAAACTTCGCCAAGACTGGATTTGACTAACCGAGAAGAAAAGGGAGGAAATAGGAATCCACCGGCCCGATTTGTGCGGAGCAGTCCACGTGATGAAAATGAAATGTTGACGGCGAACTTGTCACCATTGGGTGACGGTACCTCTTAGGAAATTTTGAACGCAATCATTTTGTATATTTGTTATTTTATTATTATTATTATTATTTAGAGTTTTGAGTGAAATTATAGAATTTCTGTGTGTATCCGTCACGGTCTTTAAAGGACGCACTTGTTGACTATATAATTGTATATTGGTTAGAATATGACCGCGTCATTGGCTAACAACTTGGCGGTTTGACTTTTGGGACCCTCCCTTCAAAATCTTTAGAAATTTTGAATTATTTTTATCTCAAACATATAGATTTTTTTATTAGTTATTTTTTAAAGTAATTAATACTATTTTTTTCACCAAAGAAAATTACGAGTTTTTATATTAGTTATTTTTTAAAGTAATTAATACTATTTTTTCACCAAAGAAAATTATGAGTTGAGTTTTTCTAATTTAATTATTTTTTCAACGTCTAGCAATTATTGTTCCACCAAATGCTTCTTTCGGGTGCCTTCAAATTTGAATGGGGCTTGCATGATTCACCCCATATTGACATTTTAAAAATTCTGAATTACAAAGTCAATCCTACAGTACAATATTCTATCATATATGTATGCAACTATACAGTTCGATGGAGAAATTTTGTATGAATCCTATAAAAATGGAGAGATGCATTTCTATTTTCAAAATGTGAGGTCGAGACATCTTTGATCCAAATGCTAGATTCTAACTAAGAATTTTGAAAAGTAGAGTAACAAGTGAGGCACTATTTTTCAAAGATTAAAGTAATAGATTCCTTACGTATAAAAATAATAAACTACTTCCTTATAGACAAAAAGAAGAAAATGATGTTCACGAAATTAATTGAGAGCGGTTAATTACAAGATTTAATCCTTAGGAAAATTAGCTTGGCTCCTCACTGAAAAAAGTGTCAAGCTCAGAGAACATAATCATGGACGTTTCAAATAAGTACAATAAAATACCAATTTTATCATGAAACGTCACATCATATATGGTTAATTTCTAGTGTAGGTAAATAACATTACTGTGTAATTAAACTTTTGTTCATTTTAATTCTGTTAAATCAATCTTTCGAAACACACACGAAACTGGGTGACTGCTTTTCTCGTATGGATCCCATGTCAAAGATGAAAGACACGTTTTTCTTCCCAAATCAATATCCATTTACGCGCACGAGCCCATTCATTCCTTATGGTCCGTTCTATTGGTCTCCCTTTGCAGCTATTATGTATGACTTTCTTGGCACACTGTCCCCACCTTTCTTCCTTGTTCGCCAATAGCTTTAAAGTTTGTAAAAATGGGAAAAGACGATAGAAAGGAGAATTCAGTATGCCATTTTTCCAGAAAAAGTCAAATTAAGGGGACGACGTGTGAAGAAAAGGGTGCATCTTTGAATTTCTTTCGGAATATTTAAAGTTTTAAAATTTTAAATAATATAGCTAGTAGATGAATTCAAAGAAAAATCTCAAGTTGATTGAAAATTGACATAAACCAGGTACGTAGACCCAATTAGAAACTTGGAGCAAACGTTCCCCTCGTCATTTTTATATAAAAACTTATTGGCAAGATCTTAAACTCGTGTGCAGGCGTAACTTAGAGAGTGTTTGGTGGCGATTAAAATTAAATTTTTTAGTAGATTATGATAAAAGTTTTTAAAATATGTGGTTGAAAAGTTGTGAGATCTATGAAAGATGTGGTTAATATCGATTATTTAACTTTGACTCAGATTTTAATCCAAACCAAACAGACTCTTAATCAACTTGTAAAATTGTTATATGCATATGTGGTTAAACTCATTAGTTTTTATATGTTATTCGGTGTGCTATTCTCACGACAATTTTAAAAGATAAATAGACTTGATATGAAAATTATTAAGTAATAAATGATTTCGAATATTCTGACCAGAAAATTAAAAAGAAATCCTAGATGAACTAATAGGGCAAGCGTGTTTCAAGTCAATCGAGCTCTTGAGCTCGGATCCACAGCTTCCATCTTGACAGGGGATGCTCTAACCAATTAAACTACAATCACAAGGAAAAAGGGAATCTAGTAGAAAATTTATTCCAAATCCAAGCGATGCACCCAATTCCTAACCTAAAAGAACTACATGAATTCATTGATTGCTATTGCAAAATCCAATCAAACAAGTCAGATGAACACCTAAATTTGTAAGAAACTCAAACCCCCGAAAATTGCCAATTCAACAATTGAAGTTGCATAGTTTGTGAACATTTTTTTATTTTTTATTTTTATTTTTTTGTAACTATAATGAATTCAAAGGGACTTTATTCAATTAATTTCACAAATTAAGCTATTAGTTAGCACCAAATTAATCAAGATCCAACCAAATTTCAACTTTAACATCCAAATAGACTTGAGCTTAGTAGTCAAATTATTGTACACGTATTATGCATGATAAATATCCTAATGAAATATCACAATTAAAATAGCAATCCCATTAAAGCGGAGGCATCCTCAAGTAAAACAAAATCATGTTTGAAGACAAAAGGAGAGTTGACTGAGATTTACGTTGACGAATCCCCCCCCACCCCCCACAGCCACGTCGATTAATCCTATGACGTAGAAAAATGGTGCATGGTTAGGTCTGATTGGCCCATTGGGATTAAAGAAAAGAAGCTGCCTTTTTAATTGAATTTTGTCGTGGCGTTGATTCTCGTGACACACTTTGCGTACGGTTTAATCCTACTCCCAACCAATATTTTTGCTCTCTCGTCAATTTTCAACAATTTACGATTTTGGATAATGTCGACAAATATGCTTTTTGATAAGCATATATTCTCTAATCTAAAGTCACGTTGTTCACATACGCATGAATATTAACCTTTCATTTGACAAATTTATAAATAGTTTGTAAATATGAACATTAAGAGGATTAGCAGTGTGTTCCACGAAATATATTGTTTGATCGAATATATAAATTTATTTATAAATTGTATCCAGAGTATAAAAAATACGAGTATTTTGGATTTCAATTTTTATATATATAAGTAATTCACAGTCACCTGGTCGGCAAAGGAATTTGATTCTTTCTTTTTTTTCTTTGCCTTAATTTTGACAAGTTACGAGGACGGTTCAATTGGGCAAGACAGACAGCCCAAACTTTGATTAATTATTTGTCAAAAAAACGTTTTTTTCTAGTTGATACTAACTGTACAGAGTTAAGACGTTTTCGGCATATTTCAAACTCCTTTTAATACAGACAAATCAAAAATCAATCGCATTCAACAATAGAAGCCACGCTTTTTGACAGGACGTGGAAAGTTAAAAGGCATCCGCCTATCATTTTCGACCTAACGGGCAAGTTTGGCAACTTATAGGATTTTGACCAAAAATATAAGTTAGTTTTGGACAAATAATTAGGCTGCTAATTTCTAGCCACTTATCTAACTTGAGAAGTTGGGTCTAGACCTGGAGGCTGCTAATTTCTAGCCACTTATCTAACTTGAGAAGCTGGGTCTAGGCTTGGAAGCGATTTGGTTTGAGTCGATTTTGACTCCAACTCGAAACCAAAACTAAATTAGTTAGTTTGGGCAAATTTCAACTCTTAAACCGAACCGAACCGAATCGAATCGATTTGACTTGGTTCGGTTTGGACTTTTAGTCCAAAGTAAATTTTTTTAAGAGAAATTGTCCGAATTTTAGACGCATTAAAATTACAAGAATTAAAATAATCAAATAATATTATATTAATAGAACTATTAACTAACAAATAAAAGCAGGTTAATAGAGATGGATCAACAGAAATTTTGAAATTTTATTTTTTATGTATTATATAGTCTCACTGCCTGAATATGAAAAAAATACTAAGTGTAGCATAATAAGCTTGTAAAGAAAAAAAAATCAATGCTATTACTTACCTACAACATCATATATTGGAGGGAGTCTAGATATAGTTATGAGATTAGGGTTTGTCTTTTGATTTTTATTTTTCTTAAATTACAAAAAAATAAAAGTGAACGTGTAAATGGGTTGGGTTGGTTCGGCTAACCAACAATTTGAAACCTCAAACCATGATTGAACCAACCCAACATGATTTTGTTTAAAAGAAAATCAAACCAAACCAAACAAATTACCTGTGTTGAACAACCCGAATTGATTCGGTTTGATTGGTTTGGTCGATTTTTTGATTTTTTGGTCCAGGCCTAGTTGGGTCGAACTCCAACTCTGAAGCAGTCGGAGTCCTTCCACTTTGAGTTTCTTTCCTCATAACCAAATATGATGTTACGTTTTGATGATGTTACCTACCAAATGAAAGGCTTGTTAGGTGATCGAAATTTATGAGGTCAATGAGAACTCATTGATTCATATACTCCTTATCTATTTAATAGTCTCTTCTTTCTACTGAATGCAAAATGTGACCCGTTGTGCCATCTCAAATAGCTTTTTTGTACTACTTGACTAGTAAGTAAGAGTTTACATAAGAACTAGAAGACTCTTATATGTACGATAACCTTCTCTTCAAAAACTGCTGGACTATTGTGCAAAAAGGTCGACATAAACAACCGAAATTAATTAAATGTTAAACCAAAAAAGAAAAAAGAAAAAAAAAAAGTGATGAATCTACTTGTCTATCTAGCCGTAGTCTGTATTGACATACAAGTTTCATCTTAAAATGCTCATTTGAGTTTTTTTGTGAATTTTATATTAATTATATTTGATAATAATAGAGGTTGGGTAGAAATCATATTAATTAGATATTGGACATTAATCACATCATAGACGTTAACATCTAGAAATTAAATTTCTAATCAATTCCTTGGTGCGCCATGTGAGGGCTGCTAACTGGTTCAAGGCTTCAAACTGAAGTTTTCAATACCTAACACTTATTTATGGAAGCAGATATTAGCACGCATGCTTGAAACCAACTGCTAACTATAAATTAAGAGAAGAGTAAGACCACAATTTGGAATTCCTGGGAGAGTTGAGATCATCATCGACCCTAACAATTAATTTGATGCATGACTTTTCGAGTCTTCTAAACCAAATATTCTTCATTCTTGTGTCATCTCTATTATCTTCAATCATAAATTAATGTTTGTTTTTTGAACATTATTGATGAGAAAATCTGGAAAATGCCAAAAAGAAAAAGAAAAAGAAAAAATATATATAAAAGAAAAGTAATTGACAAATAAACACACGGTACAAATTCTATATATGTCGGTGTCGACCATTGGAGCAAGTTGAATAATGGAAGCATGTGTGGCAAGCTGGTCTAAAGAAAAGATACCATTCACACACTAATCAAACTTGAGGTGTCATATGGGAAAATTCTGTGTTTTTCTACCCACAATTTTCAGTGTACTTACCGATTAAGCAGCTTTCTTAAGGCCAAAACCAAGATATTTTAATTGATTAGCTGTACGAAAGGTCATTTGTCTTTACATCTTTTGAATCATTATAAGATTGTCAACATATATAAGAGTAGAGACTTGTGCAAGAGGAATTTGTGTTGATATACACTCGGCTTTTATTTGGCAATATAGTCAAGTAATCAACTTGTGATAAAATTTTAGGGGTGGGAAAAAATTCATTCAACCCATGACTATGAGAATACCTCGCGCACACAGGCTGGCAGGCGCGGACAAGGTATTTGTTGCCCTGTCCTATCCTATCTAATATTATTTCAAAAACGGTTAAATTTGTGTTGGTGTATATGTTGGGAAAATTTGTTGAAACATACGGAGAGTGAGTCGGGGAGAATTTTCCCTCTATCAATTCGAGTGACATCTTTGCACGGAAAGAAATCAAGACAAAAGTTGTAATCTAATAGAATGAAAAGTAGAGAACTTTCCTAATGAGGAATCCATGAAGCAGTTGAGATTTAGAGCAAATTTAGGTTAAATTATTAAGGAAATTATCTTTTTTTTTTTTTTTTGATATCCAGGTATCCTAACTTACACTAAACTAAATCCTGGACCCTCAAGACCCTTGCCCCTAGAACCTTGGAGGGGGTAAATCGAGGGTTATGCCTTAATTGGATCACAGGTTTCCCCACTGCTTGTACACTTCTGCGTACAAGAGATCTTTCTCCAAAGTGATTGCTCCATACTAAATAAATCTGGCTGCAGGTTTCCACCAGGATTCGAACCTCCACCTTGCCGCTGGAAGCAAGACAAATGTTGATTAATCCACCAGTTGAGCTG